TGTCGCACCCTATATGAAAATTGTACCGCATCAAAATTCTACGATGACCTACGTTACACCTTTGTCACCGCGTGAAGCACGAAAACAGGAAACGACTATCATCTGAGGGTCACTCAAGATTACAACTCTCAAATTCCAATTCAAAATACGTAGAAATCGTACGGAACTCCCTGACGAAATCCTGACAGGGCATATGCGGTCGCGACATTTACATCTGAGCAGTACAACGTGTGTACTAAACTTGGGGAATTACCTCTAACACTACGGCAGTGGCTTACGGAATTTTGTAGATAAAAGTGTTCTTTGATCACCCCAGAAGGTCGACGTCAAGTCGGTCGCGACCTTCGGAAGACCGTCGTTAACATTTGAAGGCACCTGGTCGGGACGTAATGGGACAAAAACAACGGAAGGAATAACAAGTACCGTGCGTGAGAGTACATGGCACATGGCACGTAGGCACGGATGTCTTAGAAAGCTGCTGGTGGGAGGTAGTGGATCAAACGTTGTCTTTGTTGCTTTTATAGTGGATTTTGTAAGTCAATGGATTATAATAATAATAATGGTGAAAGATGGCGAGTGCCGTCTGTATCTGAAAGCCTCAAAGCTTGAATCCTAAGTCGTTTGTATCAGTTTAATAGCCTCTACCGGGCTTCTAGAGGCAGCTGGAAAGAGTAGAAATTGGTGGAATAGACAGATAACATGCCAGGGGAGTTGGTCCGCTAGCGGGAGTGGCATACTGTACTCGGACCAACTCCCCTGGAATGTCATCTGTCTGTTCAGCCAGTTTCTACTCTTTCCAGCCGCTTCCCGAAGCCTGGTTGATGCTACCACTTCAACGCCCTTCTTTTTACTATGAAAATGAGAGGGATTCCCTCTATACTTGTATGAAGTGTTCCCCAGCTTTAGACTTTTAGATAAAACAGACAAATCCGTACGTATATATTCCTTCTGAAACTTGACAAACCATGTATCATTAGCTCCATCTGTTCGTACATCTACAACTGCCTCAAGAAGCGAGAAGAAGTTGAACCTGTAAATAGTAGATCACATTAGTATGTATGTTATTGTTGTATGACCTGTACTTAGATTATAAGAGCATAGGCGTACATTAAAGAGATTTCATTCATTATCATGGTTTTATAAAGTGCTTGTAGTTGTACAGACTAGCATGGCCATGGGAATCACCTCTGACATTCACTTTAAAAGCATTCACCATTGTTGTTCATCTTCCTCAGCACCAGTCCCATAGGTTAAGCCGTAGGGGAAGTCTATAATAGAAAGTACGTTAAAAGCTTTTAAAATTAGTAGAAAACAATACATCAGTTGGATTTATGGTCTAATCTACGTATTTAGACTTTAGAGTGTTAGCTTGCTCTGGAGCTGCAGGGGCAATCTTTAGTATGCATGTCTGTCAGGGACAGTTGGAGCTATTGCCAAACATGTTTTAACCTGCTTAGTGCGACTTGGAGCTAGAAAAAAAAGGACTTGTTTTCAGTTAGAATTTGTGTGCCAGTTCTTCTGTAGTCTCAAACTCAGCGCAGACAAACATAATGAAAAGTGAATTCTATCGGTATATTCACCATACCATTCTCTTTTCTAGCACAGTATATGACGTGTTTGCTTTGCAAGAAATAGATCATTGGAACAGACCGAACTGTAGCCTTTAGAGTTTGCTGACCTTTGTATTTTAACTACTATAATCACCTAGCATAGCAGTATGTCTCCAATTGCTTATCAAAATCAGGTCACAGGGCTACTGGGACGGTTTGGACACAAAACAATTACATCAAACAAGTTCTTTCTAGTTATATCAACAATACCGTCATTTAAAACCAAACAACAGAGATAAAACTACTTCAGGCAAGAAATGTCGAACTCTTTGAACTGACTAAAAGGGGCCAGACTTTCTTGGCAATTAGGCCACACCGATTTGATTTTATGGATGACATCCGCGCGCGCATTGATTTTCGCCTGTTCTCAAAAAAAAAAAAAGAAGCACGTCCACCGAGGCTCTGGCCTGGCTCTAGGCCTGGGTAGTCCATGATAGTTACCGACAATACGGAGCCGGTGGTAACTCTAGAGGATGGCACCCAGGCTACCGAAGATCCACGACTCAAGAACTCAGTACATACGTACAGTGCCGATTCCGCAAAATGCCAGCATGTGCCGGCTTATTGTATCCGTCGCTATGTACTGCCGTAAATTCACAATAACAGCTTTGTATTCCTGTGGTTAAGTAGCATTTTTATTTTTTGCCGGAATTTTTTTTATTCGCCCGCGCGCACTAGTTTGGGGGTCTTCAGAGGATGTCATCCATAAAATTAAGGCGGTGTGGCCTTATGTAAAAAGACCGTTTGTAGTGCTGATTTAGACCTTGAAGTGCTAATAATGAGATTATGTCTTTTGTTTATCCAACTGTTTTCAGACTCTCAGTAGATTAATTTGAAATATACGTACTACCAATTAGGGATAACCATTGTATTCTTCAAAGAAATGATGGAGTCAGGGGACCTAACGTTTATAAAGGACCCTGCATAGCAATAGTTGACATTTCTTTCTTCTTCACATACCATAACCAGTAAAAGAAAGGTTCTTTTGTTCCAGAGCCCAGGGCTCTCTTTGTATGCAGGTAGGGAGTTGCATCAGGTAGAAATGAATGACATAATGTAACACCACCCACACATGTTGACCTAATTCTGCAATATTCCCCACTGATCTTGTGCCCTTGGGAAATGCACTTTACACGACTTTCCTCACTTCGCTCAGGTGAAAATGAGTACTGTCCTGTCATGTATTTGTCCCGTGTTGGAGGCGGCATTAATATAAGTTGACAAAACTTGAATGTACCGTCACCACATCTGGTGATTACATGTTGGAATAAAAAAAATATTCCCCTGACTTCTGTATACAGCCTCGGTGCCTTAGCTGCACAAAATTCATACTCTATTGACTAAGCACACATCAATGATCGAATGAAATCTCATCTGTGTTGGTAGAATCCATAGTGCAAACTTTGTTCCAACACAAAAAGTAAACTCACCATAAATTTTCGGTCGAGTGCATCATATATCTGACGAAGGTTGACGAAAGCGACCGAAAATCTATGGTCAGTTAACTTTACTTTTTGTGTTGAAACAAAGTTTGAAATCTTTAACTACACATTAATGATGTGTAAAGGTTTAATTTGTACACTTGCGTGTACCTTTCTGCAAACTTTAATGTGGGCTTAAAAATAGTATTTCGTGCAGTGCTCTTAGTATGAGCTGGGTAATCTCCAAGCAGATCCTAGGGTGGCAAAAGGTAGTATCAAATTGGCCAGGCAGTATCCATCGGCCAGAGAGGGTCCAACACGCCTGGGCAATTTGATACTGCCTTTTGCCACCCTAGGATCTGCCTGGAGATTATGAGCTGAGCGGGAGTTTGGGAAAATTTCTTTTACATCACGTCTGGGGTCAAATGTCAGAGTTCTGCACTCATCTACATCTACATCTACGTGATACGGGACAAAGTGCCTCACGGCACATCACGTCCTTTTCTGTTTCTGACGAACACGCGTATAAACAATATAGATCACAACCTCCATTATGTTATGTCCCGATGAAAGGGCCATCGTAGCTTTTACTGCTAAAAATCTGCATCGCCATAAGGTGAAGTTACTGTAGAATGCACGCAAATGTGCTCCATATACGGCCTTTTTCAAGCTGAAAACAGCGTCAGAGCTAAAGACTACGTCAGAGACATTCCTTTCTTCGTGTATATAAAAGCTACACACCCAAAACCACTCTGTCTCTATCAATCTAGTTCAGTGATACGTCGGTGAAGGTCAGACATCCAGGTGATAAGATATGCAAAAAAAGCAGTAACTCAAGCAACTGGATATGATTTTGGAAACGGTCAGATGTTTCAGCTAGCATCTACTTACTATCCGGTTGCTCGAGTAACTGTTTTTTTGGCATAGTTCAGTGAAATTTTGTATCATTTCTGTGCATCTTAGAGTAATAAAGTCTTGCCAGTATGGTCGTAACGGAATCTCCTACTTTCGTTGGAGTTGTATCTACAGTTACCCATTTAAATATGCTATATTCTATGTTAAATAATTTAAAGGCACACAGGGTTAGGAGACTTGTTTATTGTCAACATACATGTAAGACTTGTTAACAAAGTAAACATAGGTCGAAAAGGTTTGATATCAAGTACATGTTTTAATATTACTATTATCATTATTATTGCGAATATTAAATAATACAGCATATAATTAAATACGAAACCAACCTACAACACCATTACCCCCGAAGCAGTGCCTTATGTTCACATATGATACACTTAGATAGGATTAGTACTAAGATCTTTAAGATTAGTTAGTTACAAGTCTTTTATCATGAGGTTCAAATATGATGGCAATAGTCAAAATCCTACATAACACGATATGTGAATTCATACATGCTCTTGGTACTGTACGTTGGTGAAGGTTACTCATCCAGGAATACGATCAATAGATGAAGTTGTTTAGTCATTTCACACTGGATTATTGAATTTTTAATGTGTAGACGTTTCAGCTAGTATCCACTAGCTTTCATCAGTACAAAGTGAAGAAATTTCCGGTACAAGTTCTAAATAAACAAAAACAATCCATGTTCTAAAGTAAGTTCTAAAAAAAAAAAAGTAACTGACACAAACCTTTGATGTATGTGTGTATAGTATGTGTCAGTTACTTTTTGTTTTTTTAGAACTTACTTTAGAACATGGATTGTTTTTGTTTATTTAGAACTTGTACCGGAAATTTCCTCACTTTGTACTGATGAAAGCTAGTGGATACTAGCTGAAACGTCTACACATTGAAAATTCAATAACCCAGTGTGAAATGACTAAACAACTTCATCTATTGGTACTGTATTTTGTGTGCTTCGTCTTGTCAACTCTGCTTTAACTGTGTACTGAACAGGGAAATCAGTCATCTTAACTGTAAAGCAGTTTTACATTTATCAGACTTACGATCAAAGGTTTGTTTGTTTGTTATCAAAGCTACATACTGATAAGACATTGTATTATCATGTTAATCTCTTCATGATGATAATGACGATGCTTCTTTTGTCTGTGACTTCATCTGTCTGGATTGTTCCTGGTCACATGACCACGCATCCTGTAACATATAAGGGATTAGCAAGATGTTAGATCAATAATGGTATATCTTAGAATTTTTATAACGGAGTGGTTCAATGCAAGGCCTATACGACCACTTCTCGGCATTGAACTAGAAATATGAGAGAAACATGGCTATGTCAAGAGATTTGAAAGCCTGTAGATTGTAGGTTGGTGGGAAACACTTGTCAGGGAGGGAATTCCAAAGCTTGGCCGTACGGGGAAAGAAACTGTCACTGTAGAAAGATTTCGAACAAGGAATTTGGACGGTGTAGTTTTGTGAGCTAGTGGAAAACTTAGCATGAACGTTTAACCCTTTTTGTCATAATAATGGTACATCCCTGGAATGGTGCAGTACGAAGTTTTGGAAACAATCAATGTCGGATGTTGTAAGTAATGAAACGATTCAGAAGTAGTAAAATTGCAGGGAAATATCATTCCAGCCTGAAACTTAGAAATATGGTGCTCGTTTAAGCACATTGATGTCAATTGATATTCAGTTTATTCTTTATTTCAAGCACATAGGCCCACATCATTACATAGTTAAAACAAGTAAACAAACATGCCAAAAGCTAATACATTAAATATGTGTATATACTGAATAAAATACAGTGGTTGGTATATTTATGTTGACTGTGTATATACCAAAATAATGTAGTGCTACCAGTTACCGAGAGAATATATCAGAATGTATTACAAGTTTCATGATACCATTACTTGAGTTGAAAACAGAATTAAGAATAGCATATTTTACGATAGGGGCCAATGCCATACAATACGGTGGGGTTCAGTGTTGCAGTCTTACCTTTATCATCAGCGTTCGCACCCGGGTCTCCTGCCTTCTTCTTGGTCTTCGGTACTACAGGAGCCACAATCTCTCCCGGCAGTTTCACTATAGTATACGAGAAAGCCGAATATAAATATGACCTCATTCAGTCAATATTGACAATGTTAACGTCCTAATTGGTATATACAGCTTAAACAGTCCTATACGAGAATAACAGTGTTGCATAGCTTTTTTCTCCAGATTCGCTTCTCTTTTGGAAGAAAGCCGATATGTAGATAGTTAAAGTATGTAATGTACGTGATCAACGTACACAAAAACACTTCTCTTCTTCTTTCCTTTGTCAAATTCTATGTTGATGTTTTATGTATAAGCCATCCGAGTTCTCTATTTTATGCAGTGCACATACTTCAGTCAAAAATGTTGTTCCTTACTTTTTTTCTGTACATTTCTGTACAGGGTCCTTGGCTTGAAAATAACAGAATAGAATGGGCCCCCAGCTGGCTTTTAGAAAACCCAATGTCTAAATATATAACTGTACCTCTCATCCTCTCCTTGTCCTCCGGCTCCAGCTCTACTCTCACCACGCTGAACCGGGAGTCCTCCGTGTTATCTGAGCTCACACTGTCTCTGTCACTTATCTCATCTTCACTGACATCAGGGGTCTCCGCTGGAAGGAAGGAAACATTCATGTTAGTTATTACCTTAGCTTAGAAGTTATCTGTATCTGTATAGCCGGTATAACCGCCCTTCGGCGTAACACACCGGCTTCTGTATCTGTATAGCCGGTATAACCGCCCTTCGGCGTAACACACCAGCTTCTGTATCTGTATAGCCGCTTTCGTATAACCGCCCTTCGGCGTAACACACCAGCTTCTGTATCTGTATAGCCGGTATAACCGCCCTTCGGCGTAACACACCAGCTTCTGTATCTGTATAGCCGGTATAACCGCCCTTCGGCGTAACACACCAGCTTCGCAGGCATGTGGTGCGGCGGCAGCTAGCTATATCACACCGTACAACTTGTTACACTCAATCTTTGTACAGTTAATTGCAGGAGTTGTTTAAAGCTTTCTAGTGACGATGTCCCAACTGTGCTTGGTGGCAACAAGTTCCTCCCAACGATAGTCCTTGGACAATACGAGTTTTTGAACACCTTAATTCTTGCTTGATAATTCTGATGTTCTTTCCTGGGCTGTATCAGATACTTAGTGGTCAGTACATTTTCTACATTATGCATAGTCTGGACATTTTTCGTCTGTCTTCCAGCAACAACCACTGTAGGTTGTGAGGATTAAGCCCAGATTCAATGACACTAAGAATGGTAATGAATTGTATTAACGTACCTCTGGGAACGACCATGGAACTTTCTATCTCCGTCGGTTTGGTGGGCACGATTTGTTCATCAATCTCTGATGGTGGGAGATCTACAAAGCAAACAAAAAACAACATAAGACTTATATTCTGTACAAAAAAAGCGCTTTACAGAGAATGTATTGATTAGGGCAGAACTCCCGTCTTTTCAACTGCTGTGCAGTATTATAGAGAGAAATACTAGAGGAGTAGGCAACATACAGAAAAGATAGGAGGAAAATGGACAGGCACGGCACTGAGTGAATTACGTTAAGAAGAACAGAAATCTGAGAGGTGGGCAAAACTGGTTGTAAGATCGTCTGTGGTGCCCCAATGGTCAAATAATTGAATGAATGAACTTCTTCTTATTGTACTTCATGCTCTTTAACAAGATAAGTACAGGCCATTTCTGCAGTAAAATTAGTGATATCTTATTACTATACAGATATACAGACTAATGTGTATAATCAGACTAAGAGTGAGGTAATGTCCTCACCTATACTGCCCCACTCAGGATCAAATTGCCAGGTCGCCACCATACTGGACACATCCGACGCTGCGTAGACCCTGCGTGGTGGCATGTTGTTCATCTGCATGTCGGCAGGGGGAGCTGCTTCCATGCGCGGCTGGGTGGGGTCTTCCCAGTCCCCGTCCACAAACACTTCGGCCACTCCGTCGTTCAGAGGGGAGTTGAAGTTTCCTCTGACAGCGAATAGGCCCTGGTCTCGGTCATGCTGGATTGGATTGGATTGTCTTTATTATGAGGGTGCAATCTATGGCCAAGTGGGTAGAGTGCTACATTCGGTAGGTCGTGAGTTCGATCCCCGGCCCGGCCCGGAGTCATACTACCAAAAACTTGGTACAGTATCATCTACTACTTTTGTCAGTCACTTAAAAGAAGTTGTGGATGCTACTTGAAACGTCTGACAATTTTCAAAATCTATCCAGTTGCCTGAGTAACAATTTTCTTGTGTATTGGTCTGAAATGTTGGTATTTTACAAAGATTCGCTCCATAAAATGTACATACAAGATCACGTCTATTGTTACCACGAAAATTCAATTCATCATAAAAGTATGCTCTGAATTAAGTAAAGCAGACACATTACGTAAACTTTAAGTTTAGAAAAACTAGATAACTTAGTAGATAAAACGTAAATGCATAGTACATATAAAATAGAGACGTAGTTTTACTACAGTATGTACCTGTATAGTGTCCATGGTGTAGTCGTACGGTGCCAGCTCATATCGCGGTGCAGACGCCAATGATGCAGACTCACCCAGGTCCAGGGTTGCCGTTTGAGCTGAAACCAAACAAAAATAATAATAACCAGAAAGGCCACATTTGTAAACCAATATATATACATAATGTTTACCTTCACATGGTCTACTACTGCTCTTTTCTTTCTTTCTGAAACATAATCATAGATATGGTGACCAGCCCACTAACCCTGACCTGCCACTTGCTACATCGTGTAATCCAGCACCACAACAGTCACCATCGTGATAGCCATCTTGCCCAAGTTATTGCATGATTTGTTGGAAACAGCATTAAAAAAACATAACAAAACAATATGTTTTCTTATGTGAAGGTAAACATAAACATAAACAAGACATCCAAGATTTGGTACGTCTGTTAAGTATTTAGAGTTGTTGTGAGTCAGCAAAGTGAATGAAACCTTAAGTCATGAGGAATTGTAGAGTTATGTTAGTTACCTTCTAACTGATCCTCTGGTGCTTTCTTCATTGACGATTTCTTTGACGATTTCATGGACGATTTTCTCTCAGTCTCTTCCGGCGGTGACTTCTTCAGACTTCCCTTCAACGAGCTTTTCGTTAGTGAATCCTTCTTCTTAGAACTGCCAAACTCTGTAGGTCATACAACTCAGGTTTAGACAAAGTTATGTTTGCTTGAAGCCAGCACCCAAATGCGAAAGACAAATGCATTTATATCACTAACGGACCAGCCATGCTTGTTTAACGTTAAAGATAGATACTCAGTATATAAAGCAAAACTATGAACCACTGCCATAGTCATAGGAAATATGTAATTTTTCAGCCATGCGAGTTGTGTACACTGACGATTTTCCAGTATGTGTCGTTGCATTCCAAGCCACCGCTTGCTCGCCGACTGTTTGGCACCAATGCATTGGCACCTGGCAGATGAAAGTGCTTGTAATGGGCAGTCATGAAAGCTAGAGGCGTGCCAAGTGTATATGGTGCATGTCAATTGTTCCTTTCCATGGTAGCTTGCATTTTCCTTCTTGTAATGGACGGAGTTTACAATGCCTAAATGCTGTCTTTCATAGGCAAAGCGCATCTTTCACAGGCAAAGAGCGTATATAGAAAGAAGCAATGACCACATCTAACGGCATCAAAAACCAGAGAGTTTTATGCATTTGCAGGCGTAAGTATGAAGGCAACCTCGATAAAGAGCGGCAAAAGATGATCGGCAAGACCAGGGTTTAGTCGGAAAGCAACCCTCTTGCAGCGGCACGTCCAGGCAGGCTGTAGCTTAAACTTAGTCTCTACCAGACTCTATATAATTGGTTGCTGAACAATAGTAGAAATTGTCCAAACAGACTGAGTGATATGCCAGCGGATTTAGTCGGTCAGAGGAGTACACGTTGCAAAGTGTGTACATGTGGCCAGCTCCTCTGGCAAATGTTCCACTCTATATTTGTCCAATTTCTGCTATTTTTCAGCAACTCATATAAGAGTCTGGTAGAGTCTACTTCTGTCCACCCGTCTACACCATAGCTGATGGACACACCCATCATTGCATGGGACACGACGCCTGCCAGATGCTTTGGGGGTCCCAGGGGTCTCCCTCGCTGCTTGTCCTCACTTCTCTGCTGTTTCTTTGCCAGGATCTGCATCAACTCTGTCGTTTCGAATTCCTTCTCGTCTTCAGACCGTTCTGCAGGTTCTATCGGAAGGTTGACGGCAGGGGCATCCTCTCTGATCTGCTCTTTGGGTTCTTTGAATTCCACAGATTGCGGCTCACTTCTCTCCTCTTTGAGTTGCTGTTTCTTTGCCAGAACGTTCTTTAATTCCACCATATCGACTTTGCTTCTAGGCCGATCGGCAGAAATTATCGGTAGGTTGAAGGAAGTTGGGTCGAATCCTTTTCCGGATCCAAACTTTTCCTGCAAGGTTGTCTTCAGACCAACCTCAGTCCCAGTTTGCTCGTCCGTAGGTTTGTTCCTTCTGAGTTCCATTTGCTGGTCCGTAGGCTCTATCCTTCTGAATTCCAGGTAGTGGTCTTCAGGCTGTTCTACCGTGGATATCGGGGCAGTTTCGATGGGCTGATATTTGACTCGTCCTTCCAGTTTGGGTCCCTTTTTGTCCTTGCTCTTCTTGCGAGACAGACTTGGCGACTTCCTTCTTTCCAGAAGTTTGATTTTGGGTGGTTTCTGCTTCTTGGAACTCGTGTTTAGCTTGATCGGCTCCACATGTTCTTCGCCGTACTGTAGCGCGTTCATGACAGAATCGGAGTCGTAACGCTTCAGATGTTCTGCCTCTGGAAGCGGCAGGTCGCTCGCTGCTGACGCCACTCTCTTCACAGGAACTGGAGAATGTTTCGGCGTATCTCCAACAGGATGGCTCTTCTCCTCAGGTGTATTCAGCAGTATGGGGACAGAGAGCTCTACTTCCTTACCGATGCGTCTCTCTGTGGTAGGAAACGTTTCTCTCTCCACTTCAGTTTCCGGTGAGGAGTCATCAGTAGATTCACCTGACTCTACAGGTTCCTCTTCTTTCCGTCGTTTGGGCATACGGAGGGACTTCCATCGCGGTAGCTTTCGCGGCGCCTTTGGCTCGGGTTCTGCTTGCTCTTTTTGCTCTTCGGGAGGCGTTACCTCTTCCTGTGACTGCGTTGGTATCATACGCAGGGACTTCCATAGCTCTGGTTTTTGAAACATCTTTTGCTCGGGCTCTTTTTGCTCTTCTGGAGGAGCTGGTTCTTCCTCTGGCTCTTCCACAGCCTTCTCTTCTGGGGCTTCTTTGAGCTTAAAGCTCGGCTTTTTTGGCACTTTGGTTTACGATTTGTGTGAAGAAGTAGAAATTGTTACACACATTTCCTTCAATTAGCAATACTTTTTATGAATCAGCTTTGCTAATAGCTTAAAACAATGGCGTAGTTTCATCAGGTCACATAAATCAAAACGCAGCGGATTGGTGTTTTACTATTTCGTTATTTGTATATACAGTCAAAGCTGTACTTTATGAATTGATAATGATATTCGACATAATACCACCCTATGCATTACCTGTATGGCATACTCTTACGTGTCTGTATGTAATGCTCTAATGAACATCCACAAGAAACAATATCAACTTAACAAATCAGTACGACAAACGCTGGTAACTCACTCTTCAGTTTGCTGGACCATTTCCTTTTCTTCTTGTCGTCTTCTGGAAGAAAAAAGGAACCATACAGCATTCGTTATAGAGCACAGGGTATTAGAAATATTGGCAATACGTCAATGCAGGATATAATTACCATGATATAAGACTTAGACTAAGAGGTCCAACGTTATACTGCATTTTACAACATGCGTGATACTAGTTTTTTTGTGTGTTAAGTTTGACTTCTTTTGAGGCAGTGGAAGACATATCCTACCTTCCTCGGCACCAGGGGCTTGTTTTTGGGACTGTCGCCGGCTGAGAGACTGGGGTTCTATAGAGAGATATCGTTTGTTAACATCATCAGAGACTGGTGATGTCTACATTATATCATTGCCTACATTATAGTAGCCAATACATATACCCTGTCGCTTCATATTTTTCTGAAAAAATACGAGAACCAACAAATTAAATTGGTGTGACCTAAAGATTGTATGATACACAATAACTAAAACTGAAAAAGCCTGGTGACAGGGTTTACCTTCAATGTCCACGGATTCAGGCAGAATGGTTCTCCCGGCCACTCCGTTCTTAGCGGCTTTCTTGATGATCTTCGTCACGTCTTTCTGTACGGGCTTGTCTGCATCGTCTGCCATAATGACCACAAACTCAGCCACCACACTGCCCTTCCTGGATAAAAACATCGGCGGCAACCAAGCTTTAGTCTGTTTTTTTTTATTCCAACATTTCATGACTGGACATGGTGACGGCACACTCAAGTTATATCAACTTACTTTATACCGTCACCAACGCAGAGGACAAATACGGAACAGGACAATGCTCATTTTCACTTGAGTTGAGTGAGGAAAGTCGTGTTAAGTGTGGCAGGACTCGAACCCGGGACCTCTAGGTTCCGAGTCGAGCATGCTGCCGCTACGCCACACGACCCCACAAGCTTTAATCTAAAGCAATATTTACAATTAAGATTATCATCTAGTGTTTGATTACATCCAAGCAGGGAAGTATTGTTTTAGGTGGTCTAGCCTGTCCTGATTGCTTCGTTTGTGTAGTGGGTGGGAGGTGATTTTGACAGTTGATTGATGTAAGGTCACCCTAAAGGTGACCCAGCGCGCGACAAATTCGACATAATAATACATATGGTTCGGTTTCACGATCATGATTTATCAGTAGAAACTTGGTTGCGTGGCTTTATATAGTATACATAGTAGCAAACAAACTAGCATATAGGACTCACTTAAATCCAGTGATTTGTACAGCATAGAAGGAATCGCCCAGTTCCTTCGCAAGAGACTGTTCAAGCTGGAAAATACAACATTAATGCCATTATAGAAGATACGGTTAGTTTGTAGACTAGACAACAATCAAATAAATGATCTATTCCGTATGTAGGTACAGCATTTTGTTGAAGAACATTTGAATGTTGAAACATTTGTTGAACAAACATGTTGAAACATTTTGCAAGGCTACTCTCTCCGAATCATTGAGTTAGCTGTCATCATTAAACACAACCAACCAATCAGAATATCTGATATAAAGTCCTACCATGCTCTTGGTGGCGCTGGCTAGTTCCATGAACTCAGGAGACGACGGGTCTGCCAGCTCTTCTGTAACTCTCCTGACAGCTTCATCGAACCGGAAGGGTGTTGTTTATCACGACGTCATCAGTTGTGGGTTCTGTAGGAAAAATTGATGACGTCAGAGTTTTGTGTAGGCAGGTGACTCTTACCTTTCACAAAAAGAACAATACCTATTTCTTAGTATTTTGTGATTTGCAACTTGGATGATATGATGTCAGTTCGCAACAAGGGAATGACCATTACTGAACACGTCCTTGTTTTAAACATTCAAGGATATACACCGGTAGTAATATTTATTTTAATGCTACTGATATGAATCTGCACCTTTAACAATATAGAGACATTGTTCATTGGTGATGACACTGCCCAAGAATCTAACACATAACAGAACGATCACGAAGACAAAAGGTACACGGAGACTCTGCAAAGAGAAAGATGTTAAGAAACTAAACAGTAGGACAAGATCCTCCTGTCGGATGACAAACATAAGACCACAGATGTACAGACACGGACGCACAGCTAGATGATTCTGAGAACAAACCGTCCGAAGTGTCTGAAAACGCGAGGGATTTTGTCCTCTGTAGTCCCGGCCTGGGTGGCATGGCAGCCATGGCAGCAGACACAGCTGTGTTGTAGTAATACATGTGAGGAAGGAATACATTTTACAAGCAGGCTTTTCAATTCTATAGTTGCCTGATGGCAACGAGTTAGGTGTTATTTCTTAAAAAAGGGTTCATGGGTTTTCAGTTCCTAAAATGATGCCATACTTGGATATTAGTCCATGGTATGAATTAATCCTGTCACCAAGTAGTATCCTGTTATAAAATGTCATATAGAATGATTGAATGGCTACGCAAGATGCTAAAAACTGGTTCAAAAAATATTGGTCTTACCATTCAAATACTTACGGGCACAAGCAAACACACACACGTGCGCGCGCACACACATACTTATGTACACACGGACACACATACATGCACATAAACACACACACACACACACGCGCGCACACACACGCACACACACACACACACACACACGCACACACACACACACACACACACACACACACACACACACACACACACACAAACCCATTCCTTACAGAAAGAAGCTTAGCAAAAGCGAGGCCTTAGCTGAAAGATGTGCTTGACTAATCAGTTATGCCTAAGACAAACCTTGTCTCTTCTTGGTACTCATCCGTTTAATAGGTATCTCTGGTTTGTCGTCTTCTTCTATCTCATTGCCATCTTCATCTTCTGCAATATCACCAATCGAGAGAAAGCAAGCGGGAAGCATTATTTGGCAGAAAGAGCAAAATGCAAAAGAAGCAGTAGCGAGAAATTCCTACTAAGTAAATAAAATAATGTCTTGTACCACAAATTCAAGATGTTCTCTAACTTGAAATGATGAAAGTTCATCTGTGTCGGTATAATTCATTATGAAACAAAGACTTAAAAGCTTTCCTTCCAACACTGGAATGAATTGGGGCTGACTCCTTCAACCTTGTCTCCCACGTAACATTCCAAGAGTACACGGGTCCATTCCGTGAACAAGGTTGAAGGAGTCAACCGAAAATTTGGAGTAAGTCCCAATTCATTCCAGTGTTGGAAGGAAAGCTTACTATTATAGTCTTTATTTCATAAATTCAAGATTTATTTTGTATAAAAAGACATTTGTACTGCAGACATACCAAAAATCATAAACTTCTCAGGTTCATTTCCCACGGACACTGCGTCCTTAGGTGGTAGATATTTCACAGATCCACGGCTTCGTACCGTCCCTTTGGCCTCCCTCTTTGATTTAAAGGAGACCCGTGACTGTTTTCGGAACGGGCTCTCTGCTGCCTGAGTCACCTCCTCTTCTATGGGTCGTGTACAAGAGGAAGCAATGGGCGACAGGAAGCAAGCAAGACGCGTTATTGGCATACAAGCTAGGCAGAGGCAAAGAGCTACTTGCTAAAAGACTGCAATTTGTATAAAGCTAGGCAAAGAGCCACTTGCTAAAGACTACAACTTATATAAAGGCAAAAGATGCACTTGCTAAAGACTTAATATAGCTACAACTTATATAAAAGCTTGGCAAAGGCATAGGCACTTGCTTAAGACTGCAACTCGTACGAGCCTGATTTCTACTCAGTACATCAAGTTCCTTTCCAAGTATTCACATCCAATCTTACGTTACCAATAACTTCTAAGCTAAGTGTATGAATGAGATTATAGTTTGTACACATAGTGACATAGACATACCTGGTGAGACATATTGTAAAGGCTCATCCCCCATAGTTACATCCTCTTTTGGCGGTATGTACTTGTAGGAGCCCCGAGACCTCCTGGTCCCTCGCGATGCCACAGTGCCTGTAAAACGTACGTGAAAATAAGAATACTTCTCCTACAGTATGTTGATTTGGAGACGTCCTCGGCGTTTTGTTTAGTGAGTTGTCTCTATTTTCTCTATTGGTGACCATTCCTCGTTTGCTCCTGGTAGAATTCTGCAAAGTTATTTCTATGTGGATATATAACTTTTTTTATTATTGATGCTTACAATAGATTGCGCTTGCTATACATTTTGCTTACAATGATAATGCTTGATGATAACCATGATGAATTGCGTCTAGGTAATGGTAATGATAATGATGAATAGATGATAATGATTGATACACTTATGAAAATTGGTGCTTATGATAATAACTTACTTGGAACGTATAGTAAATGTGTTATAATAAGAAATATGTGCCAACAGACTGTACAACTACAGAGTTAGACATTGATAATACTATCTGATCATGATGTATATTACAGTAAGCACGGTATAACAAAGTGAATGTGTATTGTCCCTGAGATGGTTTGAAACTCGACCTTTGTAGCTACCAGAATCCGATTTGAACGATCTCTGCGTTAACCACTCGTGGATCGCCGCCGTCGCTGGAACATAGAATAGAAACATGTTCTGTTACAGTGTAGCGACACGTTCTGTGACAATGTAGCAACACGTTCTGTCACTGTGTAGCACACTGGATACATGTAACACCGTACAGAGGGAACCGTAGCCACACAACCAGTACGAAACTCTCTTTGATGAAGAGTAAACTTTAAGATTTTTTGGACATCACCTATAGACGCCACAACACCAGTTATTTCACCAACATACACAACGAACATATCTGTCCCAACTCCACATACCTTGGACACATTATCCGGCTTAGTAACGAAAGGAACTGGAAGGGGTTTGGGCAGGAGGGGGTAGGGTGGGGTGGAGAGACAACCCAACACAACACAAGACTTGATGCAGGTGCACAACCCAACACATGAATGGATTAGTTAGACAGACAGTTGTATTTGTATCTTCTCTTCCCTTGCTGAATGGTTCTTTGGCGCAATGGGTTAGGAAACGGGTAGATTCCAGTGAAACCAAGTTACACCACCGACAAACCAAGATTTTGGTCACAAGAGATAGATGGCGAAATCACACAATTAGTAAAGAAGACCGGCATCTCTCCTGCTTCAATTTGGGATGGAGGAAGATGCAGACTTAGAGGTTATAGAAGACAATTTTGTAACGATGGGTAGTTATAAGAACACTGATACACCAACGGTTTTTGTCACAAGATGCAGGTGACCAGAACACACTTCCACAGTTAAAGATGGAGACCGTTGACAACAACAGTTGTGGCAGGCCTCGTGTTCAGGGAAGATGTAGAGGTTATGGAAGACGACTTTGTCTTCAAGGACGTCGACACGGTGGTTAGTCACAAGGTGTTGGGGTGGGGAGTTGGGGATTCCGAAGTATTAAATGGCTTCCATGGACAAATACTATACCAGGGACAAATAATGAAGAGGTATAGAGGTCTTATGGAAGACGACCTTGTATTGACGGACACGATGGTTAGTCACAAGAAGTGGGGGTGTTATAGGGGGTTGTTGAAATGGATTCCATGGACAAATACTATACCAGCTCCCCCGGTGTAAAGATCCTCGTCATCCCCGACAGGACCCTCCGGCTCGGTGAACAGGCTGGGGCGGAGACCCCGCCACCGCTGCCGCGCCTTGACCGAAGACTGCCTGCGCATTTCCGGGTCTCGTACCGCGATCTCAGCTATGACTTCCTGGGTGGCTTCCTCCGCTGTTCGTGAGCGTGTGGACGAACAGGATTTGATTTGATTTGATTTATTGAAACTGTAATAATGTGGGACAAAGGCAGCCGTTGCTGGTGTTGTGTCCCACACATACAAACAAACAAACAGAGGACATGACAATACTCATTTTCACTTGAGTTAAGTGACGTCGTGTCATTCCTTTCCCACAAGAGCACAAGATCGGTGGCACGTCAAGACTCGAACACGGGACCTCTTGGTTCCGAGTCGAGCCACACGACCCCACGTAATACAACAGGATTCACTGATTCAGAAATATCACATCAAACCTTATCATGTATGAGAAGTAATAGATTAGGATACAGACCTTCCTCTCTATGGCTATCTTTCAATCGTAGGACACATCTTTGAGACACTACATGACTGTTTTTAAAACGTAGATGTCTCTTAAGTATAATGTGATGAAATGTACCTGGCAATTCAAATGGAACGCTGTGAATATCAAAAGCCTAAATCTATTATTAAAAAGTAGTTGAATCGGTTCTCTCGAACGAAGCTTTTTAGTATTGCAGTAAGGATGTACAACATTACCACTCGAGCACAGAGCTGTCTCTGTAGAATACAGACCTAGTTCGGGAACAGATTCAGCAGCAAACAGCGACCCTTGTTGGTGAGGCTTCCCTGCGCTGGCAACGTAAGCCGCCAGGATTTCTGAAAAAAAAAACGAAAAATGAATCTCAGATTTACTGGGTTCCTCGAGTAGTGAGGTTCACTATGATCAAAAATATACCCACAGCTATGATCTGTATCACTATAAGCAGGTATAACCGTCCTTCGTAGTAACACACCAGCTTCACAGGCACGCGGCGCGGGACAGCTAGCTATATTACACCGAACGACCTGTCGCACCCAATCTTTGCATGTCTAACTGTAGGAGTGTATGATGCTTCCAACTTATACATACTGACTTCCGCCTTACGCCTTACACTGTCGCCTTACTGCAAAGCATTAAAGCAGTAGATTTCTGTATTAATTCCTGTTATGATTTCTCTTCCTTTAGAAAACCCAAGAGAAAGAACCCATGATCCTGCCGCCTACACTTACCATCGGGAGATGCGGTCGGTTCTATGCTGGGTGCTTCGGCTGTGCAGAGCGTGATCATGAAATGTAAGATGATGTCAATATTATTGATTGAATGAATGAATGAATGAATGAATGAATGAATAAAAGAATGACATGAATGAATGACTTATGTTGGTTATGTTCGGTTTATTTTGTTTTAATTATGTTAATAACGTCTTCATATATCTATTAAATGTCTATTAAATGTATGAAGATTATTGTTTATGCTGTTTTTGTGAAGCGATGATCATGGTAATTTTGAGGGAGAAACCAACCAGAGTGGTAAAGAAAGTATCGCCCTAGTCCTATAGGTTTGTATTTACATTTAACGTGAAAACATCACTCAAGACCTATTCTACATAGAAACCTCTTGAAGTACTGAAAAAAAACTTAATCTCAAGCACTTTGTACAGTTGTAAAGAGTCACTAGATCTAGAGTCAAGTATCTAAACAACTGACCTTCCGGACTGGGACCAGCGACGTATAAGTCGTCAGTTTCTGGTGGTGGCGGTGGAGGTTTCACTGTGGGAATAAAGACGGAACAACTCATAACATAGTGTTAGAGAATCCGGGAGGGGTACGCACGTTCCAACTGTCTACCATGAGGCTACAGACATGTATATAGCAAGAACATGAAGACAGGAAACGAGATTAAGTGAGTCCTATCTAGGACCTTCATCCTAACTTCCTGTTTGTGTCTACCAGGCTTCAGAAGCGACTGGAAAAGTTACTAAGACATTGGCCAGATAGTCAGATAACATGTCAATGGTGTTGGTCTGCTATTTATAGGTTATAGGAAGGGACAGAAAACTGTTCTCATTTAGCGGACCAACTCCCCTGGCATGTTATCTGTCCATGGGACCAATTTCTACTCTTTCAAGCCGCTTCTGAAGCCTGGTAAAACACAATCAAACACACGCACAGATATAAACCACAAATACAACTTCCGTACCGTACTACGTGTACGGAGGTAACTGATTAGATGTGACTGCAATGAATCTAACCTTCCTGGTGCGTGTACTGGATCCTATCCTTCAGCCGTTCTGCCAGGTAGTCAAACTCGATGTCCTGACCTGGCATTTTCCGTTTGCCGCCCGAGATGAGGTCGCCTTCCCCCGCCGCAGGCTGATTCACCCTCTTCAGGATCTCTTTATACTCTTCATGGGCCCTCATGTAGTCCCACGCACCGCACTGAGGAAATGTGTGTATACCAAGCGCTTCTAGCTCTGCTTGACTGTGTCTAACAGTCAATTAGATATAGAAGTCTAAATACTACGTAAGTGTTAATGGGCCTAAATTCCCCTCCTAGCTCTGATTGGCGGATGTTTTTCCGCCAATGAGATATAGGAGGTTACCATGTAATCTTATCTTTCAAATAGCTCTGTTAGCATTTAATTTAATATTTTAATGTCTTGGGGTGGTGGGACTACGGCGCACCTGTCAACTTTGTATATTTAAACGTTAATTGTACCTTTTTGTGTGTGGCGCTGTTAATATAAGTTGTTAACTTGAGTGCAGCGTCACACTGTCCTTGTTATGTCTTTATGTTTTGATGAATAAAAAAATGTGTGTATGGTTTTTCCTTTAGTATATATGCTAGCGGTACATATACTGTTAAAGGTATCTGGAGGAGTTTTTTTCAGAATCTAGCGTTAATGCTCCATCTGTAAATAGGTCCAAATCTTGTCCATATAGCTGTGCTTCAAGGGTACTCCTTCACTCCTTCACCGGTGCTTTAAACTGTTCCTTTTCTTAAACGGTTAGAGCTGTCTTCAACATATTTTGTCGAATGTATATTGTACTTTATACTGACTATATGCTGCTATTTGCCTGTGGATGTAGGGCGATCATGGGTGGCCTATCGTATGCTCCCCATGGAGTCAAGGACCCAAGAAACTAATTATTACTCAGTAAGTACAATATACCTTTCATTAGATATGCATATTTTACCTGTAGATAGATGTCCACCTTATCCACGTCCTTCCTGATGTCGTCCGGTGAGAAGTATTTGGAGGAGTCGTCCGAATCTCCTGACGGGAAGGCGCTGTCGTCCTTCTCCAGGACCTGGTGCGTTTTATTGATAAGTCATGAGTATACGCAACTGGTTTGTTTATTCGCACAAGATATTCAAATCCTTTATTGCACTATTTCAAATGTACATCAGCTATATATACAGGTAAGTTATAAGATAGTATAAAAGAAAACACGATGAGGGAGAAAGCCTACAAGGCTTATACAAAGCCCTCCTCCTTCAAACGTAACAAATATTAATCATGAAACTATACCTGTTGCCTGTCCTCATACTCTGCGTACTCCGCGTACAGCTTGTTCAGTCTGTCCTCATCTGAGAACTTCTCCTTGAACCTGAACGTGGTATCAATCAATCAATCAATCAATCAATCAATCAATCAATCAATCAATCAATCAACCAATCAATAAATCAATCATAAGTTTCACAGACCCTGGAAAGACCCCCTCCTCCCCCAAATAGTCAGTAAAAACATAATATTAGTCTCCACCAGACTAACTACAAGGTTCAAAAGCAGTACAATTTAGATAGACAAAGCACATAAATAAAATAGAGAGAGAGAGTTCCTTAGAGAGAGAGTGACGCTTAGGGCGGCGCCCATCTCCATTTTAGTTGCCCTGGGCCACACTCAACAGTGCAACCACAGCAGCGGCTAGTCCACTGGTAGTGGTGTGTGTTCAACTCCCATACTTTTGCCCAAATACTGAGTGCTAAGCGGAGAAACCAGTAAGATAAAGTACGTAACAGAATCAATCTCTATGCCCCCTACCTTCCAGATCTGGACGGATGGACGCGGTACACCCTCACACAGAAGCCTTCTGTCGGTTCGAACTTGTTCATGATGCAGTTGACCTTCAGGTCCTTCTGGTAAGCCCAGGGGATCTCTGCCTTGTTCATGCCTTTGGTGTCCCCGTACCCGAACAGTGCCATGGCGTCCTTGGCCAGAGCGATGTCCACTACACTCTCTCCTCCCAGCGGCGTGCAGTACAGGTCCAGGTCTGCTTTCTGGTAGAACAAGAAATTTATCAACTTGAAGTTCTTATCCAACAACCAATGATTTTTATCTGCTAGCTAGCTAGCTGTATTCAATCTGGGTAATGAGTTCTTACTGCTATATTGTCTGACGCATGGTTTCTATTCTGACTGTACCGTACGATATGAATGTTATTTCTTTCTTCCTGACGGAAATAAATGTTTTACAAATTGAAATAGCGATGCCTTCCTCTTCGTGTTGCAAAAAGGCAGAATTTCTCTGTCATTTTTGATGGAAATGTTGATACATTGAAATATTTTATTCAGAAAATACAACAATCATCGGAAACAAAAGTCCACAGAAAACCCTTACCTGCATATCCTCTTTCGTGCCAAACAGAGCCACCAGTCCGACATGGCAGCCGCCCATCCACACCAGGTAGGACATGCGCGCAAAACAGTTGCGGACGCTCTGTTTGTGAAGAACATGTCAAAGGTATAATATTTTTATCAAGTAAAGCATTTAAAGAGACATAGTTATAAAAGGTATCACAATGTACACAGACATTATTTCTGTCCAAAAAGGACGCCACAGACATTGATATTATGGTAGTTTGTACCCAAAGTATTCCAAAATCGCAACAAAAATTTCTTTGTTATTGTACGTTTTTCTTTTGGAATTACACCTGTGCAGACTTCGTTCCACGTAGCCTCTACCGGGCTTCGGGCCGACTGGAAAGAGTAGAAATTGGCCAAATAGAGAGATAAACATGACAAGGCAGTTGATCCGCTAGAGAGTACATTTTGCCGTACGTTTGCCGCATGCTATTTCTCTATTCTGCGAATTTCTAGATTACTATGTCCAGTCGGCCCGACGCCTGGTAGAGGTTACATTTCACGTACAAATACTGCCATTTTACAATAGCCCCAGCTCATCCGCTTGAAGATTTCATTTCACTACATACACTATTGACAGTTGACACCACCCCTAGCTCACCTGGTAAGAGTAGTGGTACTTCTCGGGAACCCGTCTGACCTCCAGGGCCAGCTTACACCACGGCCACGTCATCATGAGCGCGATGCGCGGAGGGCCCTTCTCAGCCGGGCCGCGGGGACCGTTAGCCAAGATGTCATGTCTAGAAATGTGTGTACATTGGTATAGGATTAATTAACCTTTATCACACTTAATTAGCAGTTTTGGTTACAGGGTTAGGAAGCAGGGAAATGCTTAAGGAACAGTGTGAGTGCATCGCAAAGGTGTGATTTGATTTCTAAATATTTTAATTCTGTTTTCTTGTAGTTCTGCCAAAAAGTAATGTGTAACAAAGATTTTATTCATATTGTGTGGTACCAACACGGACCGTTGGATGGTATGTAACGTTACATGCAGACGTGTGTATAAGCTTACACATTTTGTACATTGATGAGAAGAGCCAAGTATTAAAGTATTAAAAGACGATGTTCTATGTCACGGTTTCGGTAGTGCTCATAGCTCTTCCTCCACCTCCTTTTATCTCCCCAAACAATGCATTAAAGCTAGTTATCCATTTTACACTTGGGTGGAATACTAGTGAAACAAGGCCAGGAATCGAGTCCATGTGGCCTCTCATGTCCGGCCTAGCCACTCGTACACCTGAGAGCGACTCCCCTACCTTCTCAGAATGGCAAAGTGTTTAAGATATGGGATATCTCAGTGAAATATTTCTCTGACTTACTTGTAGTTGAGTCGCACCATGCTGACAGCCGACTGAGACCATAACTTCCTGGCCTCGTCACAGATGATATCATACAGCTTCGCCTGTACGAACTTGTCGTCCCGTGTGTACTGTTTCTTACCACGGCGGAAGTTGGCGTTGATCTGTGCGTACAGACGCTTACAGGCGACCTGTGTACAGAAGTAAAACCATGCATTTATGTAAGAATGTTGGGCTGCAAGGATTAGGTTTGCAGAGTCACAAAGACTCATATAAATTTGACTGTATAAAAGGTATCTTTATTTTATTAGATACGTAAATCTTACATTGGCGCTCCCCAAAAGTTTTGTTGTTTCTGGTTCACTTGTAATAATGTCCCAAGGACGACATGGGTGAAATGTTAGTTAATGTTGGAGAAGTCACCTGTCAAAAAGAACGTTCTTTAATTCATTTCACTTGATAAGGTCAATTGACTGTGATTTTGACAAATTTAGGACTTGTAAATGGGACCAAAAACATCTTTGCTGTGTCATAATTGGGATCTCTACGGGTAGAACAACCGATTCTACCAGATGTCCACAAATCATACGTTACTTTTAGGACCAATCACGCAAAATTTATCTTCATCTAAACATTTCCATAAGGTATGTACACGTTGCTGTACAAACCTGCACCATCCTTGTGGCGTGCCCCTCTGTCCTCACATTCTCCTCCTCCACCCTCTCGGCGTCTCTCTTCCGGGATCTGTCCTTACGGGAGGTCCCCTTCACCCGCCACGGTTTGGACGCCGGCGCATCCCCCTTCGTCATGATGCTTTCTTAAAGACGTTGCTTAGCTGTTGCGAAGATGTTTTTTTTTTATTGAAACATATAATGACAAAACGCGGTGGCGACACACTCAAGTTACACTTATATTCATGTCGCCACCAGACAATACGTAATACATACGACAAGTAAAGCACAGATTAACATATTGAAAAGATGTTTTGGATGAGTACAAGGTAAAGGTAGTCCCATAGCCATTTTGCAACCGTATAGGGGCAGTGGGTTGTTGATCCACTGTACCTAGGGCACTGTATCTAGGGCTTGATAAGACCTCAAGATGATATTAGATTTTGAGCTACCTAGCGGCTTGTTATGGTACTGCAGCGGACCTTCCGTTTTTTTTATATTTCATGATCTGGACATCCTAGGTTACCATAGGTAATAATCCATTGATAAACTCCCCGTACTACTACTCTTCCTAACTACAGGGTAGGTGTGCTACAGTCGTTTAATTGAGAGAGGGCGCTATGTGGTTTTGCTTGCGCCTGGGGGCGGATTTGTCTGTAAAATGGCACGCCTATGAGTGAACTCAGAGTCCCAACCAAAATAAAGACTTTCCAACAGTAGAAGCCATTGGATACAAAATGGAAGACAAAGCCTGTAGTTGTACCAAGCAGATTTATATACATGTACAGTCAGGTTACACTTGTCCGAGTCAGGCAAATTTCCATCAAACTTCCTTAGTATGGCATAATCAATAAATTTTCGACCTGGACGTCGAACCTTCATATACGTATCACACTGGTTAAAAAAACACGGAGAAGCATTTTCTGTCTGTGTGTTTGTTGTGAGGTTCTTGTTATGGCTATCGAATGCATGACAGACCTTCATTGTACGCAAAAAAATTGTCTTACATTTAGCTAAAGTACAGGTCATTTATAGAGATAAAGCAGTGAGTAAAATTACAGTGATACCAAGATTTTACTACAAACAGGCTGTACAGACTAATGTGAACTACTATGTACAGGTTCGCTTCTTTAGACAATTGTAGATGCATGAACATATGAAGCTTATATTACATGTACATGGTTGTCTTAGTGATAAGGAATACGGATTTTATTGTTCTATCTAAATGTCGAAAGCTGCGAAACTTGTCTTGTATACAATTAAAGAGGATATTTCTCTCATTTTTGATAATTCGCAGCCAACAACAAAACGACACTTGTCCTCAATTCTATCTAAATTACAATATTGGCACATAAATTCTTTTCTGCAGAGGAATGTGGCTATATATGTCCTTGTTAACTGGTTGGGTCACTCGAGCAACATGGCGGTGTCAATAATTATCATACTTACGAAATAAGAACTTTCAAATAGAATTAGAATAAACAGAGAAGTTCACCTACCTCAATTGCTTCAACAGTACTCTTTCTTTAAACCAGCCCTCTACATTGGTTACATATCAGATCACTGCCATGATTGATTAGGCGAAGTTCGATTCTCAGAAGGGACGAATAGTCAGACGATAACAGATACTAGTATTTCATGTGTTGGTATGTTCCAAAACCGGGGGCAAGAATTTTGTTGCTGATATTGTTGTTTGGTAGAATTTAAGACTTAAACGCGGTGTTAAACTTGTAATTTGTGATCACAAGGTTAGTATTTTGATCTTTATTTATTTGGTGTGCATTTTAACTAATTTACTATCGGGAAAATGCAATATATTCATATGTCTACCCCCATGGAATTTATGGTATATTCCGAAACTGGACGAACTTGCCTGACAACTTTTGTGCAGACGACTCTGCTAATTATCAGGATGAGAACAAAACAGTATGTTTACGTCTTACTCAAGCCGAGATACTATATTTAGTGGTTGAGCAAACTGCAACGAAGGCGAGCACATGACAGAAAAATTACTTACAGAACTTTTAAACAATGATGAAATTTATAAAACTCATAAAATAACTCTTTGTGCATATTTAAAGAAGTCCCAAAAGCTTGACATTATCTCAGTGAACGTAGACTCGCGAATGGACAGTTACATCTTACAGCGTGTGTTTTGGGAAACATAAATCAATGAAAGAACTTGAAGAAGCTATGGCTTGATTGTGATAATATTTGGTATGCGGGTAGGTCTTGGGACCAGAAGAAGGGCACTTGCAATATTGGGCCTCCTAGTGGCTTCCCTTGTACTATTATATATAAACTTGACCACAGTAACGCGCAGAATACTCAAAGAAGTGAAAAATACATAAAACTGCATGATAGTGGTTATCGTTTGGTACATGGATTTATTTTGTACTGTTGAAAGTCCTCTTGAATATGTAATCTGATATCTTTCTGTAGAAAAAAATCCGTACTTGTCTTACCCTTGGATTCCTTTCAAATGGACTTGTCCAAAATGAAACCGTCCCATCATGCAGCGCGGTGCATTATCAGCCTTATCAGTACTTCCGCCTCAGCTGGGCGGGAAGGGAACTTCCCAAAACAAACCTGACCAAAATTATCGTCTGCGCGACGCAATTTCTGCATTTAGTCGCCGCTAGCCGCTTCAGAGGGGACCACGGTAGGTAGAACGTTCCTGCTTCTGTTGCAGAAACTAGAGAATGGTCGAATTACCTGGTGTTTTCTTTGGTATGAATATTTCTGACCAAAGCTATTTTTGTAAACACCGACTATCGTCAGGAAAAAATAATCGGAATCTGAATTCCTGGCTGCTATAATAATTTACACTTTAAAAAGCCACGGAGGATGTATCGTACCCCTTTATGATATTCTTGTAGAAGATATAGATTTAATTCCAAGCAAGGTAACGTAATATCAGGTTTCCTACCGGCGTCTCAAGCCTAGGTTTTATTTACAAATTTCAAAATCAGGTCATTTCCTTTCCCCGCTGCCAATATATTAATTTTGCAGGTAGCTTCTTGAATTATACAACGGGTTACGCTGTATGTAGTGCCTACTAAGGGATGCTACTGAATGCCTTTCCTCATATTTTATGCTATGGAAGATTACCTTTCCAAAATATCGGTGTTTCCCCATATACATGTATAAACGGTTTACAGGGATTTAAATAGTAATTACAACACTCATAAACGTTATGAACAATATAACGTTAGATAATTCATAACGTTACAGTTAGTATTAAGCTGTGGACGTGCCTCCAATTATTTCAACATGTTGTATAATTTCATGCATTTATGTCTAGCATTTTATTATATACTAGTAACTCCACTAGGATGAGGAAGAGATTTATTCTACTGAGGTAAAGTTTTTCTCTTCTTCAATTCTTCCTGTAGGAAAATGTTGGGAAAGCCCCAGAGGGTGCCACAACTGCCATGTTCCTAGAGCTGAGAGACAAAGACAGGACACACTGTATCACTGATATCTGGCTAAAGGATGGCTACCTGCCTCAGATAGATGGGGAAGGGCCTGGACTCAACTTCCAGCTGGAACCAGCCGTATGGTTTAAGGTAACAACAGTACGATAACAGGACAATAACAGTACGATAACAGGACAATAACAGTATGAAGACAGGACACACTGTATCACTGATATCTGGCTAAAGGATGGCTACCTGCCTCAGATAGATGGGGAGGGGCCTGGACTCAACTTCCAGCTGGAACCAGCCGTATGGTTTAAGGTAAGAAACAGTACAATAATAGGACAATAACAGTATGAAGACAGGACACACTGTATCACTGATATCGGGCTAAAGGATGGCTACCTGCCTCAGATAGATGGGGAAGGGCCTGGACTCAACTTCCAGCTGGAACCAGCCGTATGGTTTAAGGTAAGAACAGGACGATAACAGGACAATATCAGTATGAAGACAGGACAATAACAGTATGAAGACAGGACACACTGTATCACTGACACTGATATCTGGCTAAAGGATGGCTACCAGCCTCAGATAGATGGGGAAGGGCCTGGACTCAACTTCCAGCTGGAACCAGCCGTATGGTTTAAGGTAAGAACAGTACGATAACGGGACAATAACAGTATGAAGACAGGACAGTAACAGTATGAAGACAGGACACACTGTATCACTGTGGTTTAAGGTAAGAACAGAAAGCAATAAAAGTATGGAGAGTAAGTACTGTGTGACAAGCACTTATGTGCTATGTTAAAGATCTTCAATGATTGCTGCAAAACACTCCAGAGTAATAGCTGCAATAAATTTTTACGTTTCCTACAAGAACACAATTCCCCTAAAAAAAGAGGAAGTCTTCATTTCTGTTCAGACATGATGTCATGACTTTGTACACACCTGGACACACGTAGCTTCTGTATTGTCGAGATTAAACGGTTAAAAGGTTAAAAGGTCACAAGTTTTTAACATGTACAGTTGGGAATGTAGTAACAGCTACAAACTAATTATACAAAGGTCTGGAAAGTACCAATTTCTAAAACAGGAACATGTACTTACCGGTAAGGCTTTGAATTGAGAGGAAATTGTTCAGTGATAATATTATTTGATTTAATTTACTAGTGTGTGTGTAAAAAAAAAATACAATTTCAATACTATTTTAGCAATAAAACAAAATTAGTTAACTTGAAATTTTGAAATAAACCCAAGGAGGTTTACCTCTTATACATAGTAAATTTAAGTTTATTAAAGTATACATTTTTCTACTGTAAAAGTCGTTGCCAAGTTTTCTCTCCTTAATAGTATATAATACTACTGATCCAGGTGTTTTCCTCATTATTTAAAGGAAGTGTGAACTAGACAGACATGTACTAATTAGGTCAACAACATGTTATTATAATAACATTTTTCCGTATCCAGGATATGTTATTAGTTGTGTGTACAGTGTACACATAGTCTAGTTCCTCTTTCTAATTCCAGATTACATGACGCAGGTGTATGTGTACATTGTGTGTTTAAGATCAATAACTGAACTTAGTACAATTGTATATCCCAACTTTACACTCTTGCATTGCTCATACAATTGTAGTTTCAGTTCCTCTTTTTATTGTGTGTTTCTATGGAATACCTGAAGTGCAACAAGTATCTTTTTAGCATAAGCTAAAATTGTCTATTAGTAAAGAATATGATCTGGTATTTCCTTATGATCATACAATACAGTTCCAAGACATTCTGATGTACATTTTGTATGCAGACAGGAAAAAAATAGCCTGGGTGGCAGACTGTTTCCAGGGTCTACACAGGTAGCCTGGAGTCCAGCCTTGTTAGCTTTAATCTGCTCCCCAAGATCCGCAACCCCTCCATTGCTGGGAAGCAGACTAAAGTAGCTAACAAGGCTGGACTGTAGGCTACTACACAGGCCAGTTCCTTGGCTCCAGGTCCCACATACTACAATGTAATTGTAAATACCACCAAGGAAATTTTACCACAACCTTGCTCAGACTCTGACCCACATGCATACTAACTCAATCCTAGGGTGCTATGGGTCTGGTATCCAGGCTAGATCAAAGTCCCTACCCTGACATATATGTATCTGTTGCCTTTCCCAGGTGCTACTGTTAGAGACTGTAAGAATCAACTGTCACCAGCAGGTGTTACGATGGGTGACCTACGCCCCCAAAGGCTCCGCACCAGAATCAGCTGCCAACGGGCCAAAAGAAAGTAAGCTCCACTTCATAATGCGTTCACTTGTTATCATTAATATCAATGACAGATTGATTGTACAATGGATGGATGATGGAATTCATGATAGATACTGTTGTAAATGAAGATGCAATTGGTTAATGAAAGAAGTATGAGAGAATATATGTATCTTGAAATAACTAAGTCTTACATTTGTACATGTAAGTACATGGCATTGTATGTACTATTTGATTTTGAAAGGCACTGTCACCATGTCAGAGTCATTGGACTAGGCCCACACCTTGGTTAAACAATTGAACAGTAACTGTTGCTAGAGAGGCAGAATCGATTTTGAATCAAATGATGTCATTTTAAAATCCCCCACAAAATCTAGACCTAAGTCAACCGGCATTTGTTAGTTGAAGGGGAATTTGTTCTAAATTGTTTCCTTATCAGACTTCCCCTTTTTTCCAGTCTATGGTCCTGGGGGCTTCTACGACTATGATGATGATCAGGATAACCTGTTTGACATCGCTGGACAATTGTTAGAAAGAGACTCTGCAACTAAAGAGGTATTGATTATACTATAATTGAATATTTGCAAAATATTGCTGCAAATAGATTGCTGTACATACACAATGTCATGAGCTATTGACTCTTAAGAGTAAAGCTATAACAAAGGGTAATCATAACTTTACAAAACTTGTCCCACAAAAATCAGGAAATAATGTCTTGAGGGTTACGAGTTTGAAACGTTTCAGAGAGAGTACCAGATACTTATTAACTACATGGTAACTGCTCCTGTGGTAGTGTTTTTGGGACACAATGTGCGGCCTCTCCTTCTGTACCTGACCCTATAGCTAGAATATAATATAATACACTGAAAAAATTCTGGTGAGAACCCTGTGTTTATTCTTACATTGTTTCCATCCCTTGTACCCCCAGTACAAACAGGACCTGTTCAGACTGCTCCACTGCTATGTTCTACCAGTCATCAGGCTCACCTCAGATGACCTGCCTCTTATAGATAACATGTTGGAAATGCAGGTAGGCTTACATGTACATTTTAGTTAGAAGAAAAGTTATAGCAACATAATATAGACTTAAAAATGAAAATTATTATTATTGGTTACATATTTAAATTTCATAGATTGACAATGGTCATTACTACTAGTATTCTGTTTACTGAGTGACATGTTGACACAATACTAAGGTGCTAAATACTGAGTACAGTTGTTGTTTTTTTACAAAAATGAAACTTCCAACAGTTCTGCAAAATTTCAGATACAAAATTTATCACGATAAAGCACTTAACATGCATACTAATTATAAGAGTATAGTTACACCAGTACCACTTTGAATATAAAAGTACCAATAGCTAGGTTAAGGGTTACAACATTTACTCATAATTTCAAAAAGTCAACTCACCATTTTGCGAGCCAGACCCCTCTATTTTAGAGAAGAAAATATGACCAGGCTAACAAATGGCACTTGAACATGATGACTCATTATGATAAATCTGTTTCATGTGTTCTTATAGTGAAACTAAATTTCTATAACTTGTATTACTGTTACCATGCATATGGTTCATTCCATTATGGTATACAGTATATGAATGCCACATGACATATTTTTATATTGTAGTTGTCTCTAGCATAGATTACTTATTACCTACGTAGTATAATACATGTATCTCTTAGTGTATATTTGTGCGTACGTAATAAGTACTACATTAAAGTCCAAAGGCCACTATTAGTATGTGACCCAGTGCCAGTACAATACCCACAGTGGTGTTAAGATTCTAGATGCAGAGCCTAGCTGTTTGTATAACAAATTGCAGGGTTACACCAGCCTAAGTACTGTCTTCAAGGCTTTCTTCTTTATATCTGAAGACTGGTGCAGTGAAGATCTGAGGCAGTTTCAGGAAGAACGTAGCTTTTGGACGCGTGCCAAAAAGTTGAACTCTGGCCTCCTCGTGACTTGTGTTGTCCCTATCCGGGTTTTTCCAGCCTTGTCATGAGTCACAGCATGCATATGTGGGGATTTTATGATGCCTCACAGCTGTTGTACTCTTACCGAAACCTCGTATAGTTTTGGAATGGCTTTATAGCGGTGTTTGAGACTTAGAACTGTTGGGATGACAGCCATTTTGAAGTGACATTTTGAAAGTGTTGTGTTGGACATTATGATGTAATGCCGGTGGATTTTACGTCAACTCAACTCAACTGCAGTTTTACTCTTACCAAAACCTCAGACAGGTTTGGAATGGCTGTGTAGCAGTGTTTGAGACCTTCACCTGTTGAAATGACAGCCATTTTGGAAGTGTGGCGTTGGACAATATGATGTGATGCCGGTGGATTTTATGTCATCTCAGATTCAGCTGTATTTTTACTGATACCAAAGCCTCAGATAGGTTTGGAATGGATGTGGAGCATTTTTTGAGACCTTGGCCCTTTGGCCATGAATTCAGAGGGACATTTTGAAACGGTGACATTCTGAGAGTGGACAGTGAAACATTATGATGCCCATGGATTTTATTTTTAGTCATCTCTCTTCAGCTGCATTTCTACTCTTCTACTTGGATTAGGTTTGAAGTGGCTGTGTAGTTACTGTAGTTTTTGAGACTGTTGAAATGAGGAACATTTTGAGGCTGTGAAAGGGTCATTTGAGAGTGGACAGTTAGACATCATGATGCCGGTGTGTCCCTACCACGTCCAGATGCAGTTTTACTCATACTAAAGCCTCAGTCAGATAGGTTTGGTAGGTTTGGAATGGTCGTGTGTAGCAGTTTTTGGGACCTGGCCCATTGGCCATGAATTCAGAGGGACATTTTCAAGCCTTGACATTTTGAAAGTGTACAGTTAGACATCATGATGCCGGTGTGTCCCTACCACGTCCAGATGTGCCTGTTGAACGGAGCAGATAACGAGCTTCAGCAACAGTTCCAGGTTACTGACGGGACCAAACGCATCATGAGGGAACATCGCAGCGACTTCGCCAGGAAAGTCGTCAATCAGGTAAGGATTTTAGACATTAAAGTAGGGTCGTGTGGCGCAGCGGTAGCACGTTCGGCTCGGGACCGAGAGGTCCAGGGTTCGATCCCCACCCATGTCACCGATCTTGTGCCCTTGGGAAAGGCACTTTACACGAATTTCCTCACTTCACTCAGGTGTAAATGAGTACCTAGCTTCGGTTAGGGACGTCCCTCGGATAGGACGTAAACTGGAGGTCCCGTGTTTGAGGAGAGCCACACCTCGAGCACGTTAAAGATCCCACCACACCTTTCGAAAAAGAGTAGGGGCATGCCCCGGTGTGCGATGGTCCAAATTCTACAACCCAAATACTACAGTGTAGCAGAATCATCAGCAAGTTGATGTTGGCTACCTTAACCTCCAAGACCAAGACCAAGACCAAGTAGTGTTAGAACATATATATCTGATTCATTATTCTGACAGTATGGTAAAGTTGACCTCAAATATAGTTTGACCTATCATTGAAATACAAAAATTGGATCTTGAATGGTATACATAATTATAGATGCTCTTAACCTGGGTGACAGGGTTGACAACAACAACAACGAACATAGTAGTAAGAGATTGTCATTGACAAATTAAGATACATCATTATCTGCATATTTTAGTATATTACAAAAATCGATTTCATTTTTTAGAGCTCTCATAAAAGAAAACGGATAGAAATGTCAGATGTAACTTGTGGAACTACGTACCAGTTCCATTTCTGTTTTAACATTTACTGTTCATGTAGTGCATGAATGGTTTGTGTTTACGTCTTGTACAGACAACTTTGCCCTCCCCTGCCTCTAGGCTAAGGTGTCAGCTACATGTAACACAATGGGTGACCTTTCAACTCAATTAGTCAATAGGTACCTACAGTAGAATATCTTCTTTTGACACATTTACAGTACTGTTGTCTTTTCTGTGTACATAATATATGTGTATATAAGCTTAATTCTAGCTGACATCTGGCATAATAGTTCATGTAGTAACTATCTGACTCTGAGTGTGAGAATTTATTGTTGTCATTTACTAACTTGAATATGTATGAATGCATTGATATGTTGCTAGGTCTTATGTATTTGGTAAAATTTCAACTACAAATTCAAGTTTATATTATTTATATATGTTAGGTTCTTTGTGGTTCCAACATTGTAATTATGTCCACAAGTAGTCCATGGCTTGGACAGGGCCCCACTGTAAAATAGTGGGCAAACCACTGAACTGGATAAACATGATCGAAAAATTAAAATCACTAGAATCTGAATACTTTGGAACTTGTGGAATACTGGTAAATTTAGGTTTCCAATGATTTGACCTAGAAAAAAAGCTATACACTCTGAGATTCTGGTGACAGTGAGGTCACATTGACACAGAACAGAAAAGTAGGCCAGTTCTGTTTGTTACCAGCCACAGAACTAACAACACTATCTCCTGACACACATATGGTTAAATGTCTCAGAGGTTACCTTTTAACCCAAACCAAACATGAGATAAATTATAGACACTGTGATCTTGTGCAATGTGCAGTTGGGCAATAAGAATATTGTTTGGTTCTTGATGTAAATGTTATACTATTATATACATGTACTTGAAGACTTGACATAAAGGTCTCTAAAATTGAAATAAAATTCTTATGAGACATTTTGATTCATTAAAAAGTACACATATTTATCAGACCTTTATAGTTATACTATTAAAAGTATTATAACTGGATATTGAGCTCAGGAAAGATCATCATTTTTGATCTCAATGATATCACACAAAGCCAGAGTTCTTATTATTATAATAATAAGAAAATCGTTGACAATTTTTATGACACTATTGACTATTGTTATTGTTTCTTAGGAGATTTGTTTGAAGGACTACAGTAAAGACTTTCTTGAGGAAGTGAAGAAAGGGCTAGAGGATGACATCACCATCGTGAGAGAAAAGGTGAGAAAAATATGGTGCGTGTATACACTCAAACATCCAGCTCACCACGCAAGTACATGCACATATGTACATAGAGCACATTTACACATACATGTATTCCCCAGTCATAGTGACTACTACTGTACTAACCAAGACATACTTTATCGTACAGGTTTCGAGAATAAAACAAATCACTCAATAGTATGACAATGAGCTGTCTTTGACAGTTTGTTTTGTAAATATTCTCAGACTTACACAGTCTGAAACACAGTATGACACAGTCTCTGGCTGTCAGAGGCTGATTTTGCCTCTTCCCTAAAACCTGACCAGTGGAAAGGCTGCTAGATAGAAGTGTGACATAGACAGGTCATTCTCGGACTTATAATATTAGCCTGTGTAGCACAATCTCTAGCTTACAGAGGCTGATTGTGCATTTGGGTTTTGGCCTATTTTTGGCATGTTTTAGGCTTCTTTATCTGGATTTCTTTTTTGCACTGGAATTTTTTTATGCCAAATCCAAAATTACAGTGCAAATAAGCAACCCCAAGAATAAAGCCTGAAAACATGCCCAAAATAAGACATGCAAAACTCAAACCTCTGTTTGGAGAGTAGCTGATAGCTGAAGTGTGATGTACTCAGGCTATTCCCAAACTGCAGTGAGTGTCATGTCCATTACTTTTGTTTTTTTTAGCTCAACGATGTTCAGAAGAAAGTCAACCAGGCTAAAGAAGACTTGAAGAATCTGAAGATCGATGGAAGGTTCTTGGAAAGGTAAGACTGCATATTTCTTCATACATCTTGGCATCAATGTTGCTGTGTTATTTTAGAAATTGTCACTCCTTTTTGTTGTGTGTAACCTTGTTCTTAGATGCTCTCCCTTCAACTTGATCAACTCTCTTTCCAGTGATGATAAATGATTTATTATATGCCAAGTCAAATCTCTTTGCTAATAGATACAGTCAGTTACAAGAAAGAAAAAAATAGAGGGGTAGGCAATAGAAAAGATGGGAGGATACATATTGTAATATCAGAGAATATACATGTACCAACATGACACAAAGTGAAACATTATTAACTCACACTCACACTCACTGCACGGCTTAGCGTCCGTTGTTCCCCGTCATGCAAGGGTTTAAGAAGAACAGAAAACTTAGAAGGTCAACGGTCAAATACAATCACTTAATTAGGCTAAGAAAGTAGTTTATAGGGCGTCCTTGGACTAAGGGATATGTGATAGGACTGGTTTTGTTTTCCAGAGTTCGGGAGACAAGAGATGGCATCAAGACGCACCTGGAGATTCTACTTAAAGGGATGGCTGAGATCAAGAACTTCCTTGAGCTTCGGAAGAAGAAACGCTCAAGTAAATGGATGGTGAGTCTTAGAACTTTTAATTATTATATCTCAATTTATACAAAGCTCTTACAGTGCTGTTTCTTCCTTCTATCTTTCTGATATGCATGCTCATAGTAATGCCATTGATATAGAATTTTGTATTTGCCTTGCACTGGATGCTATTTTTCTTCTTTTCAATATATTTACTTTGTCTAGTAACCCAAGTATCTAACCATTGATATTTTTTTATACAACATATTATTAGGTTAACATACTCCAGGATTGCATGTTGATGCATTTTGGAATGGTAATGCAGTATCATTTGTAGCTTAGCTAAAAGTTACAAGCTTGTTGTTACAGTAGAGGATATGCATGTACAGCAGGGCTCGAACTTAACTTTTTTCCCTACTGTCCCAGAACTGTCCCAAAAATAAATTCCAACTGTCCCAAAGTGAGGATTGACTGTCCCAAACTGGTTTTCAGGAAGTATGTATTACAACAACAATAAAGCTGAGTCAGAGAACAGTATTGCTGTGTAAGCTAATTGTCAATTGAAATAAACACAAAATCAACTCAAATTGAAACTTGTCTTGGCTGGTTTATTGTGCCGACAAATGTAACAAAGACAAGCCAAAGTTCTTTTCAAACTTTCTTTCCATTTTCTTTCCTTCCACTTGTTATGTGTAGGCTACAGTAAGTGGCCCCTGTAAAGTGTGCATACTGCATGCTGCACACTGCAGTACTATATTATACTGCATGTATTACAATTCACAAATATTTACATGTTTAAATGTTTTACATTTCAAGCCCCCCTCCCCCCTTCCGTCGGCGCATCCCTCTTTCGTACCGGCCGTACGATCTGGAGGCTGACACTCAGTTGTTGAAACCACGCCGTCAGACTGAGATGATCCTGAACGTCTTTGAGGATCGACAGCATTGACTGCATTCGACGCCAGGGCCGCTCGCGGCGAGGAGAAAAAAGAGGAAATTTTCCTCTGTGTCATGCCGGCCATGACTCTCAAATTTTCTGATTTCGGCTGTTTTCGGCATTCCATTCGTCATTTCGCGGGAAACTAGGCGAAGTTTACCGAAAGACACCGTACATTCCCGAGCTTTGCCGGTTCACTATATTTGGCATTGTCAGCTGATCTCCCGCGCATCTCCGGAAATATCCGAACATTAAACAGTTACAGTTCGCCATATATGGCAGATGCCTTGATTGGATGGAAGCTGTGATTGGTTGAATGTTGTTTACATGGATAGAATGTCTGGGAACTGGCGTGGGAAAGTGGCGCCAAGGCGGCGGGCTGCAATAGATCAAAGGCGATGGGCGGGGCGACAAAATAGTGGCCACATGCGTACACGGGTGCCACACGCGCTGCTCAGCTGAGTGTATATCGAATTCGGCGGCTTTTGGTGAGGCCCAAAAATGGGTTGCGCGCCTGACAAACGTATGAACGGCTGACATTCTGATTGTGAATGTTCGTTATTTTTCCAGTGTCCCAAAAATGTCCCAAAGTGATTTTTCAGTTGTCCCGGCCGAAATTTTAGTGGCCAGGGGACATCGGGACATCGTTAAGTTCGAGCCCTGGTACAGTATGTACTGCCTTCAGTTAATGGCCTGCCCATACATTATATTTGAACTTCGTATCATACAAGACTTAGTCCCTTGTCAAATGTAGCCAAGCATGCTTATTTATAACATTTCTAGATGCATTTTCAGTACATTTCTCTCTCTTTCTCTCTTTTCTGATGCCTTACATTAGGATGAAGACTTAGAGGTATTTAAAGTTAGTTACTGTGGTATGGCTGCACATTACATGTACATATGTTGCAGTACACATTAACACAATGCGTGTAGTTCATCAATATTTTGAAAAGGTTCCATACTGGACAGTATTTTAAGTGTAAGAAGTTGCCAATTATAACAAGGGGCTTTTACTTTAGTTATTCTATATGATCATGCCATCTTTATAAATAGAAGTCCCCTGCTGACACAAAATGTCATTTGCCATTAATTAATAATCTTGTCCTCCACAATCATAATAATTATGGAAACCAAACATTTTTGATATGTAGTAAGTTATTTCATGTCATTGAACATTTATACATAGTACATGTATTTTGAAGTAAGACTACAGTGAGTAAGTCTTCAAGTTGACAGATATAGGTTTTGCTTTACATCCATGTAACTTACATGTACAATCATTTCAAAGAGGTGTTTTTTAGTTCTCCATGACATTTCAGGAAGTGAACCCTGTTATTTTTACTTCCTTCCCACCTTTTCCATCCATCCATTCATGCTTCAGGAGTCAGTGGAGGAAGTTGACTTTGAGTGGGAGGTACTTGTACTATGAATGTGCAGAGTTGGTTCCCGTCTTTTTTTACATGTTACTTAATATACAAAAGTCATGTAGTTTGAAATCCTTCACTTTTTTTACAAGTGTGTTGTACAGCTTTCGTTTAGTTTTTGGTACCATTGTTTGACATTGTTTTTATATCTTCATTTATACATGACAACTGTAATAGTATACATTTTGTACATGTACATTGTGAAATTACATAGTGATGATTCAAGACTTGTATCTACATTATACATCTACATGTATTTTGTTTTGAAGAGTAAGTGACATATTCGACGAAGGTGTAAGATTGTTGAGAGAATAATATTGGTATGTAAAATTATACTGGGTCATTATTTACACCTAAGTTGAAGAAGGTTTGGAATGTTTCAGTTAGCATTGATCAAACTTAAACTCATTTAGTAGCTGTTTGATATCTTGATTCTGTGGGAATTTGTATAACTGACTACCAGCTGTCCTTGTGGCCCTGTGGCAACACCCTGTGGAAATGCCATGTCTGTGGCAATGTGCCTAAGGAATCTGCCTGTCTTGTCAAACAGTTCCACTCGCCTATTTCCATTGTCTGCCACAATAATGTTACCTGTCCTGTCTGTACAGATGCCCCTTGGACCCTTCAGCTGACCTTTACCACTTCCCCTGCATCCAAACTTGAACAGAAACTGCCCATCCTCGTTGTACACATAGACACAGTTATTGCCATAGTCTGACACAAGAATGTCCCCTTCCCCATTTATAGTGATGTACCATGGGTTCTTCATCCCCTTTATCAGACCCACAGTTCTCACAAGTATCCCATTTGGCCTGAAAACCTGCACTTCACCATGTTTCTCGGTTGTATGAGTAACATGGATGTAGTTCTTTGTCTTGTGCACAGTAACCCCGCTCAAAAATTTTGTGTATTTTAGCCCAAATTTCCTCAGTACCTCGCCCTGTTTGGTGTAGCACACAGCAGCATGGTCAGTAAAAGATGAATAGTTCCCCACAACCCACAGGTTCCCCACCCAATCCACTGCTACATCTTGAGGAGACATTGTTTCTTCGCCAGAGATAACAGTTGGAAACTGGTGGACAAATGTGCCCTGCAGGGTGAAGGCTTGAATTCTCTTGTTATTATTATCAGCTACAAAAATTTCACCATCTTCTGACACAGCCACACCGGAAGGAAAGTTGAATTCCCCAGGTCGGCCCCCCACCCCACCAAATGTGACCCTGGAAGTGGTCATCATAGATCCCAATACTGGCACTGGGGAATCTGTGGGCTGAAAGACAGCATGCTGGGTTTGTACAGGAGTTGGTGCTGTTTTTCTTCTGCACTTTCCTACCAACTCTGTCAAAGCAGTTTCCTGGCCTAGAAACCTTTCCCCTTCCTGCTCCATGTCTTGTTCTGCTCGATCACAGGCAGCAGACAGTTCATTGACATCAGCCAAGACTGTGTCCCTCTTGTCCTGCACAGCTTTGTCGTTTGTCCTTTGTTGTTGCTCAGCTTCAGCCAAGAAGCCATCTCTCTGCTCTGCGAGTTTCTGCACCATTTTGTTATAGGCCTGAATGATGCTGTTGTCCTTCTGCTGTTTCTCTTCCTTGAGTGATTTCTCTTTCTCTCTTAGACCTCGGAGAAAGCTGAAGTAGGTTTCCAAGATGTTTCTCCCCTCATTGATCAAGGCCTGGGCTGTAGATCTACTTTGTTGTGAGGCTTTTTTCATGCTTATGTTAGGATGGCCATCATGAGTTTCCTCAACACAATCCACACACAAAGGCACCTGACACTGTGTACAGTACAGTTTGAGTTTTTCAGAAGGGTGAGTGCTGCACCTGTTTTCGGACTGGGGTTCCCTTGTTTCCTCTGACAGTGTAACCTGGCCCTGTAGTCTCTCACACAGACTTGAGACCAGGTGGTTGTCTGGCAAACCTGCGACCCCCTGGGGTGGCAGCCTGACTTGTTGCCGACAGTTAGGGCACTGGAAGGTCCTTCCCCTCCCTGCATGGTCTTGTAGGCAGCCCTGACAGAAGGTGTGCTGACAGGGCAGCACCTTGGGCATGGTGAACAGCTCCAGGCAGATGCTGCAGGACAGTTCTTCCCTGAACTGTGAGCCCAGACTTGACGGTGCAGCAGCCATTTTGTCCAGCTTTCTGCTGATGTGGACTGGCCCCACCTCAAGGCCACATGTCACATGACCACATGACTCACGGTTGATTTTGGTTGGTCCAAAAGATCAAGACAGTAAAGATTTCAGACATTGTAAACAGCTCATGCATGTTGGTGGCTTATGCAAACAAGAAGCTAATAAGTAAACACAGTTTACTGTCCCTTTCTTTACTTCTTTAAACAAGTGTTCCTTGCTGTTCAGAGGTTATAGGATAGATTCTTATTCTTGGTTTGTGATTTTAATTGGAAAATGTATACATTGTACCAATACACAAACCACGATTGTATTGATCTCTCTTATTCTTAGCAACAATCTATGCCATACAATGTGTTACATGGATTTACAGACTGATATAACTGAGTACACTAGGGTTGAGAATAATGTTACTGAATACACTGAAAACTAGGATTAGTTTTAATTGAATTTAATATCATCACCTAATATACACAAGTGAAATAGCATAAAGTGGACTCTGTTTCCTCCCTCTTTTATACCTTCGCCATCAGGGTGAGGATTTAGAGGACCAGGTAATTTATATAGAAGTGCACTTACATGTACATGTATATAGACCTTAAGTGGTGTTGTGAAGAGATGCTATAATGTGTGCTGAACACTGCACATGGAGGTTGTTACATTGTATGTGACGCACTGTCTGTTAACCCATTGAATTGCAGTGCAAGTTTTGTTGTTGTTGTTGGTTCTCAGTTTTTTACTTAACAAAGTATTACAGGCACCAAAATGGCTGTACATGTACATGTAGATGTCTGTATCAGTTGTAGCCAGCCCTTCAGTGTAAAATACCAACTCCCATTATACTACACCTTCACCTTATCGAACTACAATGTATCTAGCTTAAAATTCACTTTCCCATATCTTAAGCCAATTGCACTACGTTTCAATCTTTTAACTGTCTGCCAGCAAGCTATATATAGGTATCACAAACGGCCTAAATGCTAGAAATTCCACCAATGATTGTAACAGCGCATTCTCGTCCAGTTCCAGTCATGTCAATAGTCACAGAGATGAAGAGTTACTTTAAAGTTTGTGTTTCCCTTCTATGTTTTACAGAGAAGAGCTCCACACATAGAGTCAGCCTTCCATTCAGCACAGGAGCAGTTAGGAGAACAGAGGGAAAAACAGAAATCTCTGTTGGACAAAAAGGTGATTTACTATTGAGTAGTGCAGTAAATATTAGATAGATTTTGGTTAATAGATTACCACCATTAAAATTTATCTGCTGGGTTACTGCCACATTGAAAACACAGTGTTTGAGTAATCTCTAGTGCAGCACACCCAGGTATGCATAGCTAGATTAGATATACAAGACATCTCTTCAGATTCAATTTTTCAGGTATACAAAATGATACATGTATATTATACAATGCGGCCAGGTAGAATTATGTTAATAGAGTGACTTAAATTATCTAGTACATTTGATAAAAATTTATGTAAATTCTGTACTGTCTTTGATACAGAAAACTTAGAACAGATGTTCTACATGGTTTTCACTAGCACGTCGGCAGAACGTACTGCGCCTGCGCAGAACCCCGTATTTTCACGTTTTTCGTTGAGTTTTTGGCCAACGTTGCATCAGAATTTTGCCTGTTGCAGAGGATATTCTTTCAGACATAACGTTTGGAAACTACTGTCGAAATGCTAACCTTATATGAGCGAATACAACCTTATATGAGACATTCTGCTGAAATGCTATGTACAATACATTACGGGTTTCGCGCAGGTGCAGTACGTTCTGCCGACGTGCTGTTTTCACTGACTCCAGGTTTAAACTTTTGACCAATGGCATGGCTTGTATCATTTTTTCCAGCTGCTCCTTGTCAGTGTGAAAGAAGCCCTGCGATTGGCTATCGGAGACCTCCATGAAGATAGAGACACAGCAGGACTGGAAACAAGTGTGATGGGAGGAGCGAGGGCAACAGATGGTAGGTTTCTGTATAGGAAATAACAGTTTTCTGCTCTCACTTGTAGCATGCATAGTCCATTGGTTAACGACCCTGCCTCTGTTGTCACTCTGCACATGCATGTTGCAGGAAGTTGCAGTCTTTAGGATGGGACGTTAAGCTGTGGTCCACTGTTCATTGTGCTTATTAAAAAGAATTAGGGGAAGTACAATTAATCAGTAAATACTGTACATACATGTCATGTCTGTCTTCTCTGCTACGACCAGTGGAAGAATAGTTCTAATTATACGAATATAGTTTGTGCCTTGAACTTCAAGTTAAAAAAATAATTTCTATAATTTTACTGAGTACAACATGTAGTCAGTTACAAAACAGTGGTCTTACTTTATCCTGAGTGTTTGATTGTGTGTTGTCCTGTTTTTTTCCTCTCTCACTGTCTGTCCTCTGCTTACACTTGATGTGCACATGTGTTGGCACCATGTAGACTCACTTAGTCCTCTGCAGTCTGGTATGTCTGTATTCAAACTTCTGTGCTGCTTCTACAGTTCTGTAATAATGATAATCATTTTCATCTGAACTTTCAATGCACACTTTTGAACAAAATTAACTTAGCAACACTGCATGTATCTGTGATGTCTCTATTTTGTGCACATGAGCTAAAAAATGTACTACTCATAAACTATGTGTTACCAATTCTAAAAAAAAAGAAGTACCGTCACCTTTAATGATATATTATTCTGTCCTTTTCCAGTTCTTGAGTCTTCAACATGGAGCACACTAGGCGAGAGAGTTTCTAAGGTAACAAATCTTTCTTTCTACAGCTGCTATATAGATTAGCTAATATCAAAAGAAAAATTATGCAGATTCACATCATGTATCTATTTCTCTACACAACTCCAGATAGTGCACACAAGTAGAGATCTCAAAGCAGACAAACACAAGGCATTCTGCCAGTGGGTACTGTAGTCCATGCTCTGTATTCATTTGTCTTTGTGAGCAGGGCTAACTTTTTTAGCTGTAGATGCAGCTGTAGACACACACACATGTACATGTATTCTCTTTCCTTACACACTTCCAGATAGTGCACACGAGTGCAGACCCCATAGCAGATGAACACAAGGCGTTCTGTAGTCCATGCTCTGTATTTTTTTAATGAGCAGAGCTAACCCTTTACACGAAATTTACATGTTACAGTAGCTATATTATGTAGGTTCACAACATGTACCATCTCTATCCCTACCCCCTCCAGATAGTGCACACCAGTGGAGACCCCATAGCAGATGAGCACAAGGCGTTCTGTAAGTGGGTAGTGAACCTGTGTCAGGCCGGCTCAGCTGAGGAGGAGTTACGTCATCTTAACGTCACCTTCCAGAGGGTAAGTTCTGCAGTTACATAATACATTGTAGTAGTCCAGTGGTTATATGCAATGTAGTGACCCTGCCATTGGAACAAGTGTTTGCCTGGTTGTTTGAATCCCGACTGTTGTCGCTCACCTGACATGCACACTACTGGAAAGCGTTGCTGTCCCTAGGATGTTAAGCCATGGTCCACTGTTCATTGTGCTTGTAGAAATGAGGAAATTTCCGCCTTACAATGAACCTGTAAGTACTGTACATAGCGTCTGTCTCCAAGTTCACTGTGTATCAACTGGTACCACCTATTATGTATATTTTGAATGTTTGTAGCATGATCCATACTTCCTAAATTTTGAGTGGTGCAGGTAAAACTTGCCTCCTGCTGGTAATTTTCAATGTTACCTGCACCTGTGTAGGTATGCAGAAAAAAAAAGAACTTCAAGCCCTTCACTACATGTACATGTAAGCACATTGGCAGAAACCTGCTCAAAACTGTATATTCAGCAGAACGTCTCATATAAGGTCATATAGTATATGAAGTTAACAACCCGTTTCTATTTTACAAATGTTATGTCAGAAAAGATATTGTCTGCAACAGGCAAAATTCTGATGCAACGTTGACCAAACATTCGTGAAAAATCAGGGTTTTGCAGTTTTGCACAGGTGCAGTACGTTCTGCTGACATGCTCTACATGTATAATTTTATGGTCTTCCATGAAGAAATTTGTCTTTCTCCTGTTGCAGAGTACAGACCTGTCCCTGTCCCTGTCCATGCATGAAGCCAGACTGAACAGCAGCTCCAGTTCTGACGATGAGTTTGTCATCATACATGACATGGACGTGGACCCCAACGAGAACTGTGTCCGCAAACTCAAGACAGAAATACACAAGCACTTCAAGAAGGTCTGGGAATTTTTTTCAAGATACGATAAGATATAACATAATACAAAATAACGTAAATGTACAAATTCTCATCTGCAATTGGATAAATTCAGATAGCATCTACTTTGAAATTCTTTCATCAGTGGTGATAATTCTCAGCCAGAAAGCAAGAAATATAGCAGAAAACTATTTGAAATGTCGGTCTCCTTTGAGAATTTATTCTCTTTGCTTTCTTTATTTTGTATTGTGTAATGTTCTTCCTTGATGGCCCTAACTTTTGTGACTTTTGATTGTGTAGATACTGTTCAACTTAACACTAATTCAAAAATGTAATTTGCCAAATTTTGAGTACTAGATGTACATGTAGATACATTAATCCATAAAATTATTATAATCCCGATGCTACATTCATTATTTAGCAAAACCTTCTAAAAGTTGATTAGAAATATCGATATGCATGTATATTTTTGTAGAACCTGATGTACTGGGTACATGTATTGTAAGATGAATTCTGTATTTGTTACAGATGACCAAGCGTATTGCAGAGCGAGAGTTGAAGCCCAACGATGTTCACTTTGTGAGGAAAGTCTGGCTGTATTATGAGATGTGCTTCTTCACAGAAACCATGGACGCCATAACTGCTCTGTATGAGGTAGGAGCTTAGCCTGTTTTTTTTTCAAGAAAATGAGTTTTCTCAAGGATAAGTGTCATATTTATGGTCTTGTGGTGAGTGTTGTTGACTTACATGTAGGATCAGAAGGTTCTGGGTTCGAATCCCAGACAGTTTCCAATGTTGTTCCCTCAGGAAAGGCAGTTCACACCTACTTCCTCACTGGACTCAGTGAAAAAGAGTAGTACTACCTAGATTTGGTCAGGGACATCCTCCTGAATAAGATGTACATAATGTACATGCAAATTTGGAGATCCTGTGTTTAAAGAGAGCTACACCTTGAACACGTTAAAGATCCAACTGCACTGATCAATAAGGGTAGAATACAATATTTTCTAATGATACTGTGATAATGAAAGGAAGCTCTTGGACTGTCTGGGCGACACTCATATCTATTCACACTGACCCTGACCTCTCGACATGAAATCCTTTATAGATTAAGTTCCTTTGTAAAAAGTTTTTATTTACATAGAATAATGTAATACATTTGTAGATTTGTTAAGCCACCTTATGTTGCTATAGATTATGTTAAATTTGTCATGTCTTGTCAGCAGGACAAGCCCTTTGTAATAGCCACTGGCTAGTTGGGCTGCCCTGGCTACCCAGCCAAACCAATATATAGATTAACAAAGAAATATTTTATTAACTAACATATTTCTTAATTTTTCCCAGCTTGCGTACGGCGAAGAAGTCCAGCAGCTGTGCACGGCCCTGGAGAGGTTAAAGGTCGCGGACATGGAGATACGAGACAGCTGGATCCTTTCGCTGTTTCCGGAGATGGTCGGCGCCGAGGAGAGCAGCGAAACGGAGAGCGCCGGCGAACTGACCACTCCCACCAGTGGGAACAGCAGCGGGGAGGACAACGACAACAAACCGTCGGACAGGGACAGTCTGTCAGAAGCTGCACATCCAAGACAAGATAAAGAAGATAAAGCTTTAGGGAACAAGTCAAGCAACAGCCAAGGAGAAATTAGAAAACCAGACAGAGACAGGCTGTCGGAAGTTGCAAATCCAGGAAAAAATGCATCGCAAGCTTCAGAAGATGAAACTGTAGTGAACAAGTCAAACTGCAGAGCTGGAAATGGAGCAAACGTGCAAGGTGAATTGAGAAATGCAGAAGACAGCCAAGATGTCCTGCAACAGCAAGAGACTCTAACAGGACTAAAAGATGAAACACAGTCTTCAGAAAATAGGACTGGAGCTGATACAAGTGAAGAAGGTGGATTGACAAACTCAGCAAATGTTCTCCAAGAGCAGGAATCTGAAGAAACAAGTAACGACGACGCCTTGTCTTTGAGAGATGAAGACGAAACCGTCTGGAGTCCCCGCATCTCACAGCAGCTTCAGAGGCCACCTTCTTACGAGTACAGACTCAGCTATGTCAGTCTGGATCCATCTATTAACGAAGACATAGAACAAGCCGTGGAAGTGACGCAAAACTCGATGGAGACCATCGCACCACCTGACCAAGAAAGAGAAGAAAATACAGACTATAGGGACAGAAATGTGTCGCTGGCTTCCATCAATGAGATAGATGTAGAGATAGGAAAGGATGTGCACTATGATGATGAAGATGTTGCCATGGCTAAAGCCAGTAGTGGGAAAGATCACTGTAGAACTCCTATGTCAGAAAGTGCCTGTGAGTCAGATCTAGAAGCTGTTAGAGTCAGGTTGACTTTCAGAGATTCAAGTCACAGTTTAAGTGCTGATTCAGGGTTGGGTGCCTCCACAGTGCTTGGTAACAGTGGACAGGAAAGCAGAGAAAAGATGCACGACCTACCGCTAGTTCTCCACCAACAGAAGGACAACACAAACACAACTCCAAAATCAGCCGCAAACGAAGGAAACTGTTTCAGAGAACGGACCACAGCCCTGGACAGAAGGGACATCCTGCCCCCCAAAAGGATTCGAACAACTCTCCCCACCAATGTAGAAACCGTGCCGCGAAAAGACAGCGACGAAACGTTGAATCTCCTAGAGATGGTCCACGCTCGGAAGGAGAGGAACGCAAGACGCCGCCGGTCAACGCACTTCTTCACAGCGATAGACACGATCAGTGAAGTTCTTCAGGAGAACACCCCACTCAAGAAACTCCAGGCTCTGTCCAAGAGTCTGAGGGACATCAATGAGAGGGTTGGGCAACTTAGGACAGTGCAGGGACAAGGTAGAGATTTGTTTAGCAGTAGTGTATTGATATGCTTTGTTTGATTGTTACCAACTACTACATAGTCAACTACCTTTAGCAGCAGTTTTGCACAGTATTCCTAGCTGCATAAAACCAGGTTGTTAGCCCTAGAGGGAGGCAGGGTGAGTGGGTGGGTGTACATTGTAGGTTTAAATGAAGGTCTCTCTCTCTCCCTCTCTCTCTCTCTCTCTCTCTCTTTAAATGTATCTCTGTCTACCTCTCTCTCTCCACAGATACAAACTGACATTCTCCCATGTATGTTACAGACAGCCATCCCCTAGGTTGTGATGACCTGGTGACAGTGCTGATGTTAGTTCTGTTGGAGGCACACATCCCGACTGTCCTCTATCTCTCATGCTCGCTCTGTCTGTCTCTCTCTGTGTCTCTCTTCCCCTCTCCCTGCCCCTCTCTCTC